AGAGTACAGGACACACACAGTCTTACACGGGGACAGCTCCTAATCCCATCATGTTCGCCATGTCTTATGAATGAGATCTTTCAGGCAGGATTCGCACTTGGGTCTCCTTTACTTCCCTGTGGCTAGGAGCATGAGAGGTACCTGATTAGCTGAAAAGCTAAGCATTTGGCAATTAATCTGCAGATAAAAATAAAGTCAACTTCAAACCTGGGGCTGATTTAAATGTAAATAATGTGTTCCAACTGACCCATGAGGTTGGAACTGACGCAGAATGAGGACGGCGATGAGACAGTAAGGTACTGGGACATGTGCCCATGCACTGGCAGGCCTGTGGGCCCACCAGGGAGAGAGCCAGACGCTGGGTTACAGAGCAAGGGCGAAAGTGACAAAACTTGCTTCCTGGGCTCACAACTGATGCATTAATAAGACTGACCTCCTTTAGATGCCGAAAACATTTGTGTGTCCTTCAGTACTTCTAACAATATCACCAAAATAAGATGCAAAGCAGCAAACACATTGCTGTCCTTTGATTTGAAAATTGGGAGGCCTAACTCATGACCCACCCCCAAGTCCATCGCAAAAATGAACACAGACACAGAGGACCCAAGCAGCCCAACTGGCTGTGGAATGCATTATGGGATTTATATTATCAATGACTCTATGTCATAACTGTGCTTTTCAAAGACAAACTTTGAAATGGTTTCAAAGTCCTTGACTGCCATTAATAATCCCTTCATTCAACAAACATCAAATAGGAGCTACTCTGAGTAGGCAGTACGCCAGGAACAAGGGAGACAGAAAGACACACCACAGTCATGCCTAGAGGCTCACCTGTCTCTGCTGGGTGGGAGACAGGAAGGCTAAGGATGATCACAGCCCAGGGTGGTCAGAGCTGGAAACAGCGGGAGCCCCGGTAGGCAGAGGAGAGCCCTCAGCCCAGTCAGATTAAGAGAGGGGGAATGCTGGGAAGAAGTAACAGGTGTTTTGAGTTTCAAAGGATGACTAGGAGTTAGGCAGGTAAATGAGTTGGGAAGAGAAAACAGCATTTGCAAAAGTCTGGGAATGTGAGAGGCCATAGGGCATTCTGAGGCAGTAACAGGGTCAGCAGAGTGACTAAGGTACATGGGAGGCCTGGGCCAGCTTGCCAAGGGCCTTATGCTCTATGTTGACAAGGTCCAACTTGATTTTGATGGAGGTGGCTGCTAAGCCTCTGTATGGTTGTATGCAGGAGAGTGATCAATCTACAAGTGATTACCTGAGGGTCTCCTGAACAAGCTGAGCAGCTCTCAGGGATGCTTTCCTTTATTCACTGCTCCTGAGGCAACAGCAACTTAAAAGCCTCATTAGCAGTCAGGTCTCCAACTAACAAGTAAGCCTGCCTTCCCTTCCATAATGCCCTCTCTCTGAGGCCACAGCCTCTTTCAATTGCATTCTAATTTCAAGAAGTGATAAACATATGCTCATGTTTCCATTTACAAGTTTTTGATTATCAGCCTGGCATTGTAGCTGCAAATTACCCATTTTCTATTATAATTATTTTTACTTCTCTAGAAGAAGAAGAAGAAGCATTTCTAAATTACTAAAGTGCCCGTGCCACAGAGGGAGGGAAGTAGAAAGCACTGCTGCGTCTTTTGCCAATGGCAATATAATAGCAAGAGTTTGAAAACCACAATGTAAGCTTGTGGGATGTGTCAGACCAGGCCTTCCAGATGGGCACATTTGCTTATTGTGATTATTTACCTAAAACCTGGCTGGATTGCAGCAAACCAGGGGTGAGCCTGGCTTGTGGCAGAATTGCTGCTTGTGAGGGTTTTCCAAGAGTAGCTCCTTGAAAACTGGGTTGCTTTACGTGACTGGCCATCCCCTCACGCTCCTGGGGTCTAAATCTTGCTTTTCTGTTTCTAGCAGGAATTTTAAAAGATTAGAATGTCACTAACTCAGATACGTCCAAGCAACTACAGTATTTGGTAATATGATTAAAATTCGGCCATGCTACTTCCTAAAGAAGGCCCACGTCAGGGCCACGTCTCGCTGCCTTTCTGCCCTGGGCAGGGGTGGCTGGGGTTGGGGTCGAGGACAAATCTTGATAATTAATGAATAGGATGCAATGAATTCAGGTTACCAGCTGAAGCGAAAAGGATTCTGTCATGCAGAGTTGCAGATCTTTTGGCAGCTTAATGTCGCATTTAATTGGCATGTAACAGTAATTGACAGAGTAGCATGTAAAGGAGATCACAACCATGGCTTTGAAGTTCCCGTTGGCGGCTTTGTTTCTCAAGCACAGCTTGAATGAACTAAACAGTTTTGTTATTGTGACCACTGTCCAAATTCCTAACATCTTCCATGTGTGACTGTGCTCTGTCCTGGGGACAGAGGCATGGAGGATACGCTCTCTGCTCTCATGGAACTCATTTTAGTGGGGCAGTCGAATATGGAGAAACAATGAACAGCTACTTAAATATTCAAAATGCCAGCACTTTGGGAGGCTGAGGCAGGCAGATTGCTTGAGGCCAGGAGTTTGGGACCAGCCTGGGCAACATAGTAAGACCCCCATCTCTACGAAAAGATTTTTAAAAGAATAGCTGGGTGTAGTGGTGCATACTTATAGTCCCAGCGAATTGGGAGGCTGAAGTGGGAGGATCTCTTCAGCCCAGGAGGTTGAGGCTGCAGTGAGCCATGGTTGTGCCACTGCACTTCAGCCTGGGTGACAGGGACCCAGTATCTAATGTCAAACGAAAACCAAAATGCTACTTGTAGTAAAAAACAAAAGGTCACAACATTGTAGCTACAGAAATTCCAAATCTTGTTCTTTTTGTATTTAAACCTTTGTGGACGACAATAATACAATAATAAATCAAGGATAACAAATCAATAATAACTAAAAGTTAACATACTATTTACTAGGTGCTTTTCAGGTCTACTAACTCATATTTTGGCCGTACGTATTCTGTGCCTATAATTACTTTTATCTTTAATATTTGCAAACACTGCAGAAATTTGCAGAGAAGTACTATCATCTTGTTTCTGATGGGGACACAGAAGCTCGGGGCTCCATCCCAAGATGTGGAACTAGGAAATCCAGGCAAGTTTAAGCTCCTGTAGCGAAGAGCTCACCAGGCCATTTCACTCCCTGCTGCTTTTAGAGGGGCAGAAACTAACAGAAGCCCTGACTGAAACCAGTCTGCCCCACCATCCAATCCACAGGATCTTTGGTATTCAAGATGGGCTTATTCATCTTTGTAGGAAATAAATGTAATCAGCATATTGACCATCCTTTAGACATCAACTATACCTTCTTCCCTCAAGAGTGAGTTGTTCCGCTTCCTGTGTATCTCAAGATCTTTGCCCAAGCAAAGGAAGGTAAAAACAGGCTAGTGCAGCAGGTGTCAGAAATTACTCTTTCTTCAGCAGCAAAGTGAATGAGGCCTCCAGTCAAGATTCAACAGGAGTGTATCTTGGGAGGTGTGCAGTGGGTTGTGTGCTGTGGCTGTCGTGGGTATGTGTTGGTGTTGCAGGGGTTGTTGTAGAGAAGCACATCCTGCAGTGGGGTGCGGTGGGGGCTTCTGTGGTGGGGAGTCTGCCATGGAGGGGTTTGATGGAGAATAGGTCTCTAGGTGTCTCATGGGGAAGTGTGCCATGAATGTGGGGTGAGGGTGGGTGACAGGAGGGCCATGCTGCACGATGTGTTGTGGAAGTCATGTTGTGGGGGATGGATCATGAGGGTATGCTATGGAGGATATAGCATGGGAATGTGCCATGAGGGTACACTGTGGGGGGTTTTGCTGTGGGGGGTATCATGGTAGGTGTGGTGGGTGGTGCTGTGAGAGTGTGTCTTGGGTTGCAGTGGGCATGTTGTGGGGTTGTGCTGTGGAGATATGTCCTGAGTGAGCTGTGGGGCTCCCTCGAGGGCTCCCCACCAGCCCAGAGAATGCCATTCTTGCCCACTGGACCTGCCTAATCCCCACAATAGTAAGTGCATGCCCCAGGAACCCCACCCTCACTCTACTCCGAGCCTTAACATTCTCTGGTCTCAGGGTAGCCAGTGGACATCACAGGTGGCATGTTTGGGGGTTCTGCTGGTTGGAGGAGCTCAGGAAGCACCCCTCTCTGTAGTACAGCTCAGGTAGTAGCTGCAGGTCACATCTAACACAGCTTCTGCAGGGATCCTTTCCCAGAGTTCACTGCCCAGCTAACCAACCCTGGGACTCCCCAAGATACAGCACAAGTGAAAGGAAGGAAATACCTTGGCATTCTCCCCTGCAGTGGGGCCTGGCACTGAGGAGTCTAGGCTCAGAGTCCGCTCTCCCAGTGCAGCAGCTTCTCTTAAGGGCACACCCTCGCACCCCCAGCTCATCGCTCCAAGCCTCTGGCCTATTTGACTTCTGTGAAGGCCTATTTGACCCTAGCAAGACCTGGGGTGGCAGAAACTCAAGAGCTCAGACATGCAGATGAAGTACTTGTTTGTTTGGAATGTATGCATCAATTCCCCCCCAAACTTTTTTATGAGAGATTTTCAAACATGCAGCAAAGTCACAAGAATTTTAAAGTGAACATCTGGAATATCACCACCTAGATTCTACCGTTAATATTTTATTGTTTGTTTTATCATATATCTACCCCTCTATCCATTTGGCAATCCAGCTTATTTTTTTGATGCCTTTCAAAATAAGTCGCAGACAGCAGCATACTTATTTCTAAACACTTCAGCATGCATATTTTTAATCAGAGTTCAGTATTTGTTTAGCATTTTTTCCTTTCTTTGAACATACAATGGAATGCACAGATCTTGAGGGCACCATTCCATGAATTTTAACAAATACATGCACCATGTAACTCCTACCCCATCAACATATAAAACATCTCCCTCGCCCTGAACATCCCCTTGTGTCCCGTCCCACTCAATCCCCCATTCCCCTCCCTCAAGCAGCCACCATTCTAAGTTTTTCCACCATAGACACATTTTGCCTCTTTTAGAACTTTAAATATAAATAGAATCACACTGTGTGGTCTTCTGTGTCTGTTTTACTCAGCACAACGTTTCTGAGCTTCACTCACGTTGTTCTATGTGTCAGCAGTTTGTTCCTTTTCATTGCTGAATGGTGTTCCATTATTTGGCTATACCACAGTTTATCTGTTCTCCTATTGATGAATTACTTTTTTGTAAATAAAGATGATCATTGAGTCGAGGTTATTCCGTAATATGGTTGCTCTCACCTGCATTTGGACCTGTTTATCTTGCTAAGCAGACCGGGGTGCTCAAAGCTAGCACAGCTCATGAGAGTGCTTGAAGAACATAAATAGTGCATTTTATCACCTTTACGACAGAAAGAAGATCAAAAAGCACAGTTTTAGAGCAGAGACTCCCCAGGTGTGATGGAATGCAAGATGATTTCAGGTGAGAACTTAAAAATGTCAAAAGAGAATATATTTATTACAACGATGCCCCATTTATGGCCTGTGAAACTAGTTTTCCTACACGCAAAGGATGCATGGTTTGCTTTTTAAGTGCATCTGTTTATATAACAAAAAACTGATTTAAAGAAAAATATTAAATAAATATATGGGGGGAGTAAAGAAAAAAACCTCATGAGGCTTGGGGCATGCAGATTGTGAGGTGTGGGAAACATTCTTGAGCAATGGTTGTCAATCCTAGATGCACATTAGAACCACCTGGGGAGCTTTAAAAATACCCCTGCCTAAGTGCCACAACCCAAGCCTTTCATGTAATTGGTCAAGGTACATCCAGTCAACCATAGTTTTTAAAAGCTCCCCAGGTGATTCTAGTGTGCAACGAGGGATGAGAAACAGTTTAGAAAGTAGTAATTTTCAAAGATCAGCAGTATCAGTATCACCTGGGTGCTTCTAGAAATGTACGTTTTTGGATCCCACTCCAGACCTTTGCCATTAGAAATCAGGTCTGGGGCCCAGCAACGTGGGTCTTAACTAGTCCTCTTGGTGGTTCTAATTCTTGAAGTTTGAGACCCATTGTCTAGGGGTAGGTGGGACAAGTCCAAAAGGCCACTGCTGCCTCCCAAGACGAAGGTCTCCACCATGGTGCCAATCCAGCCAGTGTCAACTAGGTCTGCCTGGTTCAGCTCCTGAGAAGCTCCTCTCCTCCTGAGGACAGAGAGGGTAGGTGGGAGCCGAGTGGTGAGCAGCTGCTGGCCAGTGACCAAAGGGATGATATCCTATGGTCCATTGGGAATTAGCCTCAATACACAGACCAGTTAATCAGCCCTCAGAAAATCGAGTGTTGACTATAATTTTATTTTCACCATGATTTTTGATTAACAGTGACCTCCTTCCACTCCATTACCCTTCTTAATTGAGAATTGACTACACAGTTAAAATGAATGTTTCATCCACTAACAGAGCTGTACCAGATTCATCTTAAAGTCCCTCACAGCTCAAGAAAATGTGATGAGTCTGCATATATATTGATCTTATACAATTCATTTCACCAAAAATTTATGAAATTACCAGTAAGGTCACCTGTTAAGCATTCATGTCCAAAGGCTTATAGGAAAGAAATGGAAGTTTTATCTGAAGGATAACATTGTATTTAGAGAGCTAAATCAGAAATTGTGCAAAACCTGGCCTCCTGATTTGCAGTGATTTCTCTACTAAAAGATAACACAGTTCTTCAAATTTGGTAAAGTCTTTGGAAATATTGTTACCTTACAGTTAGAGAGAAGATAAGGTAACAACAAACACTCCAAAGGCTGCTTCTTTTTACCAGCTGGCTATTTTGATAAGGAAAAATACAAAGTAAGAGGGGACTAAGGGGAGATTAAGAAATCTGATTATCTGTTTCAATGCTAAGTTTGAAAAATGAACTTTCATATAACACCAAAAAAGATTAGAATTTGCTAAAGAAAACATGCTGGGGAATCTAAAGTAATATATGCAATGCCTGTTAAGTAGTATGTACCCTGAGATATTTCACAAAACATCATCATCCTTTTTTCTGTACCATAATGTAGTAAAGGAATAATGTCACCATGGAGGAAAAACCCACCCACCTCTTTGTGGAAAGACAGGTGCAAACCACAAGGAATCTTGCAATGATTTTAGGTGTCGTAAAAGACTCAGCCAACTGTTTCTTACTTACCCGACTGCAGATTGACTATAAAGAGCTCAACAAAAGCACCTGTGCAACAGGGTGAACTCAGAATCAGGTCTGGTGATAAGACTTTCTTGGAGCCTGTTCCCAAGATCTGCCCTATTAAGGGCAAGGCACCTAATGTAGGACAGTGTCTAGTTCAGCTTAAGACTGAGTATATCCTAGTACTTAGTGAATGACTTAAACTTTTTTTTAAGCTGGCTGCTGTGGCTCATGCCTGTAATTCCAGCACTCTGGGAGGCTGAGGTGGGTGGATCACTTGAGGTCAGGGATTCAAGACCAGCCTGGCCAACATGGTGAAACCCTGTCTCTACAAGAAATACAAAAAATTAGCCAGGCCTAGTGGTGCATGCCTGTAATCCCAGCTACTTGGGAAGCTGAGGCAGGAGAATCACTTGAACCTGGAGGCTGAGGTTGCAGTGAGCCGAGACAGCACTCCAGCCTGGGCAACAGAGTGAGGTTCCATTACAAAAATAAAATAAAAAAAAAACAACACATTTTATTATGCAAAATTGCAAACATATAGAAAAGTCGAAGGCTGGGTGTAGGGGCTCATACCTGTACGCCCAGCACTTTGGGAGGCTGAAGTGTAAGGATCACTTGTAGCCAGGAGTTTGAGACAAGTCTGCCTAACAGCAAAACCTATCTCTATAAGAAATTAAAAAAAATCTTAGCCAGGTGTGTTGGTGTGTGCCTGTAGTCCTAGCTACAGGGAGTTCCAGGGAGAGGATCACTGGAGCCCCGGAGTTCAAGATTATAGTGAGCTATGACTGTGTCACTGCATTCAGCTGGGCAGTAGAGTGAGACCCTGTCTCTAAAAAGAAAAATTGGCAACAATAACAGTATAAGGAACTGCCACACAGAGGTCCCCCCCAAATTATTGACATACTTCTATATTTACTTCACCTTCCCCCCTTAAGTATATGAAGACACATCATAAACACCATGATATTTTACCTGTAAATACTTCAAAAATAAAGGGCACGTTCTGAAATAAGGACAGCATCTTACTTTTCCATAATATGATCACACCTGAAAAAACTAATAATTAACAAAAGTTCCTCGGTATGACCTACTAGCAATCCAAACATCAGTGTATGTTTTTTGGAAAAAGAAAACACAGACATAGTTGTGGTGACTCCAAATGGTAGAAGTGAATGTCCCTGCAAAGTCCTCAAGAAGCAAAGCCCTCATCTGGGGGCTCCATCATTTCCACAAGTGTACCAGAATGGGAAGTGGCACTTCCTCTAGTGGGGGCCTCCTCCTGGAGATACGGGGGGCTCTCATTCCCACAGGCTCACAGTATCCAGACACAACTCTCCCAGGCCTCCTTCCAGTAGCCAGTGAATGCCAGTTGTCTCTCTTCTCTCATTAGGGTGATGGTCAGGCAGAAGCTCAGGGGGTCAAAGAGAGGCCTACATCCTACCAAATCCTAAAGGTGGGCTCCTAGCTCCTGCTTCCTCTGATGTACGGTGGTGCTGCTGGAGATGGAAGTGCTGAAGAATTGGAGGAGGAAGGCCTTGCTGACTCTAGGAGCAGAGAGGTTCTCCAAGGGTGCCTTTGGCCACCCATTGGGCCTTCTGGTATCTCTTATTGGCCTCTTAGTAGTCCTGTGCCTTACCACAGAGGCACAGACTTTGGTTCTTCAGACACCTGTCCATCAGCTACTCTCCCTTTGCTCTCTTTTAATGACCCCCCCATCAATATTCCTATTTATTAAGCATCTATTATGTTCCAGGATCTTTGCTGGGTAATTTTCAGACATGATTTCCTTGATTATATATGCCAGGCTTTTGAGGGAGGCATGGTTACTACCCTTCACAGGTGTATTCGTTTCCTACGGCTGTTGTAACTAATTGCCCCAAGCTCAGTGTTTCATCTGCAACCTTAATGCCCCCAAAGCACAGAACCTAACACATTCACAGGTCCTGGGAATTAGGATGTAGACATTTGGACGGCCATTATTCTGCCTACCTAGACTGCGCTCAGAGAAGCAATGGTGCTTACTCAAAGTCACACAGCTATTATGCAGTACTAGACTCCAAAGTCAGATTCCGGGATCCCAAACCTAGCTCTGCTCCTGCTACTTCACTGTGTGAATTTGGGCCACGTAACGCCTCAGACCTCAGCTTCCTCACCTGTGAAACATAAAGGTAGTCTAAATACTCTCTAAGATGCCCTCCAGCAGCTGGTTCATGACCCTCTGAGCACCTGGGCTTTCTTCTAACTACACACATGACTTGAAGTCAGGACCCTACCGAGCCCTCACCTGATCTGTCCGCACTGACCCTGGCTCAAGTACTGCCCCTGAGAGGGGGAGATGTAGACTTCTGGTCGCAGCGCAGACTTCATTCTCTCCCTGGCTGGAATTTTCTGAGGCCTTTGGTCTGGGAAGCTTGGAAACATGGATTTAAGGGCACTTAACTGTGTTCACCCCAGCACCCTCCAAGCATACCACACCAATCTAAAGTCAACTACTGTGTTTCCCCGCAGTTCCCAGCTTAGAGGGAAGTAAGGATTAAGGGCTCTTTGTGCAGTGAAAAGTAAAGCAGAAGGTGAGAAAATCAGACAGTAAACACAGAGACGTGAAGGCTTGTTTGCTGAGAGTTCCCAAACCAAAAATGTTTTTAATGCGCTTTTTAAAAGCACTTCATATTACAGGAGATATCAAACATATGAAAGTAGAGAGATTAACACCGGAACCCTTCCTTAACTCTCAGGTCTAGCATCCCCAGGTTAGATACTCTTCTCAGTCTAAAATTCCAATTTTGAATCACCATCCACAGTGGGCAGCTTTATTGTGTGGTCCTGCAGCACCTTTGTTTTCAAAACTGCTAGACTACGATTCCTCATGATTCTGAAAGGTCTGTCAATCAAGATGACCAGAAAACTTCAACTTTCTGTGAGAAATGAGTGGTCCAGGAGAAAAATATATGATTCCTGAAGAACAAATCCAGTCCTCTTTCAATAGGGATACTGGAAAAAAATAGCGCCTTCTGAGATAAGGGGCTATAAACTCCACATAAGCCTGGAACTGCCATCTTCCCACCTTAAAGAATGAAGCCAATTCAGCGGTAATAAGAGCTGAAAGAGAAGGTGAGATTCCTAGCACCATCATCTATATGATAACCTGGACCCAGCTGTGCTTGATTCCCCAGAAGTTTTCCATTCTGTTAGCCATATGCCTAATTTTGCTTAATTTAGTTTCAGTGAAGTTTTTCTTTCTTACAATAGAAAGAATCTTGAATACAAGCCATCCTAGAAAGCCTTCTTTAAAGCAACAAGCACAACTGTCAGTCTTTCTTGTGAAAATTAGAGTTTTGCCTCCTAAATTTAACAAAAAAATTTATATTCCTTAAAGAATAAGTTTCTTAGCAAAACAATATAAGTCTGAGATTTAAGAATACTTCCTTGACAAGAGAGAACTCTCTCTTGCTGGATTTTTATCAGGACAGCAATTCTTCAATGATACTTTAGTACTACTATGTGATGAGTACCACCTGCACCCTCCCCCACAATAAACTCCTGTTGGTGCTATTTTTGAACAGGATAAACTGTCAGGGAGTAGTTCTGGGCTGACCTGGGAGACTACACAGAAACTAGGCTTTGGGCTTGAGTCTTCTGGGATGCACCCTGTACACGAAGCCAGGCAAAACAGGGTAGAACCAGATTCCAGTTTTAGTGACAGGTTGAGGAAGAAACCACACAGGCCTTAAGTGGTACCTGCCACTAAGAAATGCAGTTACAGATGCAATGAGAGGAGGTGAAACACAGGTCCCCCCAGACACCTGTACTCATTCGCCCTCCTCCCTCCTTCTTCCCTCCTTGGCACAGACCTCCTCGGCAAAGTGTAAACACAGAGCGCCCTGTGCTAGGCAGTATGGAAATAAGTTACAGTGGCCACAGTCCATAATCCCTAGGAGCCATGGTCTGGTGAAAGGAGACATGGTAAGTGCCATCATGGAATGAGGTGTAAGGCACTGTGGGAAGATGACCATGTTGGCTTGAGCTCTTGAGGAAGGCTTCCTAATTCTCTCCCATCAAAGATGGCATATTAACTGCAGTGTAGTCTGTAATGGTAAAAGATTGGAAACAGCTCAGTGCCTACCCACAGAAAACTAGTTTAGTGATCTCAAGTAAAGCTCACAATAGAATACTTCTCATTTGTAATAGGAGGAAGAGAGGGAGAGAGTGAGAGGAGGGGAGGGAGAGAGGGAGAGGGAGAGAAGGAGAAAGCAAGGGGGAAGACAGAGAGAGAGAGTGAGACCTTTCGGTACTAAGTCATCTCCAGAATTATTTTAAGTGAAAAAAAGCAAAATGTAGAACAGTGAGTATGAAATACTGTTTTATAAAAAGGGTGAAATATCAAAATACCTATAAACTCTGAAAGCATATAAAAACATAGCAGTGATTGTCTATGGGGAGGCAGAGGTAGAAGGAATGAGATGAGAGGGGATATTTTCATTGAATATATTCATATTTACTTTTCTTAACTTTTGAATCATATAAATATGTTACCTATCAAAAAATTTAATAAGCAAAACAGAAAGCTTCTGTGGCATTCCAGGTGTTTCTCAGAGGAGTAGTCAGACATGTCGGAGGCCTATGGCAGGAGGTATTTTCCAACCCAGGCACAACAGCACGCACTATCCACATGCTCAACAATGTTGGACAGTGACATGCCTCCCACAGACAGGTGGGTCTATTCTGCCCCCCTGAAGATGGGCAGGCCAGAAAATAGGGCAAAAGCGATACTATGAGACTTTTGAGAGTAAACGGTAAGAGGTGACTAAGCTTCCACCTGGTCCTCCAGGGATACCTGTTTTTTTTTTGTTTTTGTTTTTGTTTTTTCCAGAGTCTCCTTCTGTTGCCCAGGCTGGAGTACAGTAGCATGACTTTGGCTCACTGCAACCTCTGCTTCCTGGGTTCAGGAGATCCTCCTGCCTCAGCCTCTGGAGTAGCTGGGACTACAGGTGCATGCCATCATGCCCAACTAATTTTTTTTGTATTTTTAGGTAGAGATGGGGTTTCACCATGTTGGCCATGATGGTCTCAATCTCTTGACCTCATGATCCACCTGCCTCGGCCTCCCAAGGATACCTGTTCTTAGGACCCAGCTGCCATGCTGTGCGGAAATCTAGGCCACCTGACGTGGCATTCCAGCATCCAAGAGGAGGCTCCAGCTGCCAGCCACTGAGTGAGAAAGCCTT